TGCGCGACGGAGGAGATTTCATTTGAGAATTTGGATAAAGAAATATTTATTTTGTAGCACTAAAAGTATAAACATCGTATACAACTTCTATTAATTGTTGATGAATAAAAATGAATTTCTTTGGTATGTTAATTAAATCGATTTCTTTTTTTACTTTTCCCGAATGTACGAGTGGCAAAATGAAACCAGTTTTTCCGTTCGAGAAATGTTGTTGTTTTAACAATAGATTCTGTCCTTCTGGATTCATAACTCTGAGAAAGTAAGGAATCATGGATAGATAGACTATCATTAAGTAATAGTATGTTCCAACTATTTGTTATCTATATTTTGTAGAAGTTCGTCAATCTATTTAAGAACTGTTATTATTTTACTGAAACCATTAGTATGCAAAAATAGACCATTTCTTTTATTGTTTTGAAAACCTAGAACTCATTGATAATTGAAAGTATTGACATGAAACTTTTTTCTTATAATTTGACATTTTTGTCTACATACTTTAGAATAGAATATTGTGCTACAGAGAATGAACTACTTATTTCTGGATGAAGGATGACCATAGACTTAACTTTAGTGTCACGCAAAACTAATCGGAATTAATCATATATTTAATCGGAAACAGAAATTTTTAATAGGCAGGGTTTTTTTAGATTATGAAGTTCAGAATAAAAAAAATAAATATGATTCATCGTTAGGTTTCCTTCGTATGAAGTGATTAGACTATAGGTCGTGTTATTTATGTAAACTCTATGATGAACTAAATAAACACTAAAACTTTCATACTTTTTATTTTGGAAACATGTCTTAGAAAACTAAGCCTTTAGTTTTTTAGCGCCTACAACTCGGGTATAAAATCTTCTCACATAACATAAAATGAGACGTCCCCAGAGTCTCTACATCAGGTTCACAGTAGACTTCAAATAGAATTGTTGTCAAGTCATTTTCGTCCCCAATGATCACTTGAGTGACTAAACTGTTGTTATAAATGAGTCTGCCAAGTCAATATATCAACAACACTAAGGTTTTGTTCCAAATAATCTCACGTAGAATATGATATATAAGTAAAAAATTAATTTTCAAAGTAATGAAAAATTTGACTAAGAAAATGAAATTGAATAGTATATTTTGATATATCTCTGTTACATCTGTTGCTATACTTAACGAATATTGATCTATACTTCACTAACGGAATGAAACGTCCAAAACTGTTCAAAAATCTCATTCCAAAAACATATGATAGTACTCATATTAGTCTTATTGAATCATTTGGCAGAATTCATCAAAATAACTTCTATATTCATTTCATTAATTACTATTCTTTTTCTCTCTTCAATAATTATGAATAAAACTCGGCAAAACGAAGGAATTTCTATCTTATCCATTGAGAAAACTATCTCGTATAAAACACACTCTAGAATTTACCCGATAGACACTTAATTTGATTAAAAAAGAGAAAAAAAAAGTTTTTCTTTTCAATATGTCAGACCAGAACACGGTCAACTACTATTTTTATCGTGAAATGAAGAACAATTTTCTATTGGTCCATAAAGTAATACTCTAATGCACTAATGCACTTCAAGTCTGTTCAAATTATTTATCATATAAACAAAGAATATAAATTATATCATTTAATTAAAATAATAAATCAATGGTTTTCGAATAATAATAAAAAATCCTTATAAAGGACAACCTAATCTAATCATGAACGTCAGCTGTCAAAATTCGATCATCTTACCGGAAAAAAATATAGTTTTCCGGTTTACAGAAAATATAATCTCAAATTCTCTGTTGTAAATTTATGCGCTATTTTCATGTTTTAATTTTGTATTAATTATTATTTTTCTTCATGCAAAATATGGATCAGTAGAAAATTTCTATGTTTTCAATTAAATAATTATAAAATGATTATCTTTTTAGATTAACATTACTCAATGATCAATGGAATGATTTTATTTATCGTTTAAAACAATTAATTTATTCATTATCTCAATATGAAAAAATTCATTTTCATGATATTTATTCTTCATTATCCAATACAAAACAAAATCTTAATAAAAATGAAGAACAATATCTTCGAAAAGAAAATATTCAATATGATTTATTAACAATTGAAAAAATAAAACATATAGAAATAGATAAAACTATTCAAGATATTCAATTAAATTTTAAAACAAATGAGAATATTATTGAAAAAGCAAATAAACGACTTGATGGTAGAAGAAATATTTTTTTTGTTTTTGTATTTTGAAAAAAATCTTCTACAGTCGTTCGTCAGGAAATGAATGATATACAATCATTTATAGATTCAATAAATAAGTGGAAGAAACGAACAATACAAAATCTATAAATGAGTAAGTTGATTGAATGTCATCAGAGAATCAAAGTCTCCTGAGTGATTATTTACATAAACAAGGAAGTGATCTATAGTATTACCGTTAAAAAAAAAAGAATAGAAATCATAATGATCAATAGGATATTAGGCAAACAAAATGATCAAAACTTAATATTATCTCTTTCTTAATTAAATCTAATAAATTATCTTTTCTCATAATTACGAAAAATGATTTCTAAATCGTCATATTGCCATAATTTGCATTATTCTTTTCGATAATTAAAGCTTTAAATCATTACTCCAAAAATCAATATTCAGAAATTGTCTATCAAGGAAAGATTTCCAAAGGTGACTCACCAATCGAACTAATATTTCATCCGTCAGTAAACTCTAACGAGATTAACAAAAAAATCTATAAGAGTTCATCTCTACGCATTATCCTTTCTAAGTTATAAGCAGCATTTTATTCAGTGTAGAACGAAGAGAACAGTATTCCTCTGAAGATCCAATTAGTTTCATGGAGTTCATGATTATTTGTCTATACTCCCAATAATAGGTGTTCGTCTGTCTTGAAAAGAAAAAACTTGGATAAAATTCTGGTTAGTATAGTTTTAATGAATTTTGATCTCTGACAAAGAAATATTTATTAAACAATTGAATTATAAAAGTTTGCCCACAGATGTATCTCGTGAATAATTAAATACATTGAAAATTTCAGCCTATAGTGATGTGTTCTTCTTTAAGTATTGAATCTTGCAAATACTTGTTTTTTTTACTTTTCCTTATGACATATGACTGTTCTTGTGATATTCAATATTTCAAAAAGAACGTATTCCTTTAGAGTGAAATTTTCAAATCATTTCAATATTAACGAAGTTCTTTTTTTTTTTTTTCTATAGAACTTTTTTTGTTTTTTTTTACTTTTTATTCATGTTCAAAATTTAGAAAATGAACTAAAATCTATTTAGTCGATCCTTAATAAAATTTTCTTATCTAATTTAATGAAATAGGTTTATAAGATAAACATGAATGAATCATAATTTTCGTCATTTAAAATTCTATTTCAACAACTAGAAAAAATGAACAATTCTATTAAAATAGATATTGATTTTGTTCAACTAAACTCAAGAGAAAAAAGTTTATATACAATCACTCCTAACATTATTCGATCGAACTTATTTTTTAAATATTTTTTGCGATATTTTAAACACTAAGAACAATTCAAATAATGATTTACTTGCAAGTTTTTTAGCTCCTAAAATTCGATTTCAATTACTCAGTATGAAAACATGATTTTTATGCATTCTTTAACATTGATAGACCTTAATCAAATGTGAGTCACACCACCATAAGAGTTATTCAGAAAAGGACATCCGCCATGTAGTTTGTCAGAACGTTCTTGCCTATAGCAAAAATATCATAGAGACTTCGAAGTCATTTAAGTTTTAGAAAGTTTTCTTAGAGTGTTCAAGATAAATATCAACAACAGAAAAGAAGTCTAGTCGAATAATTTTATGAGTCATGATATATAGATCGAATCATTTCATAGATCATGAAAATATATTCAAATCATTAGAATATACCAATCACGCGAGTTTCATAATAATAAAACTTATTGATTATTAATCGATCATCTTTGTCAAATATAATCAAGTCCTTAAAAATGATCATTCTATCTAGTTGAACTTTTTTTTTTTCTATGTTAATGAAAAAAAAAAAACAAATAAATAAATAAATAAACAAAAGTATGAACTATTTTTAAAAAACAAAGTCTTAATTGATACTAAAATATATCTCTCATTTGATAAGATATTTTCAGATAATTTACTTCAAACTCAATATTGATAAAATATCATTTATATCTTGAGATGTTAATTTTTTTGTTTTCATCAGTTAATGAAAAAAAGAAATAAACATTGACATTTATATCTCATCATATAACTTAGTAAGTTATTCTTTTTCATATCAGTAAACATTAGCGATGTTGTCATCATTAACACGTTACAGAATCTTTTTCTAATATAGTCAATGAGTAATTTTGTATAAATATGCTTTTCTAACTATGAAAACAATTAAGGACTTGTCAAGGATAGATAAAAACGACAAGATAATGCATTATGCTTGATTAAATAGAAATTATTTTTTTTTTCAAAGGTTAATGTTTTTCTTTCTGTTTTTTAGTATATATATATAGACAAATGGAAAATATTAACTAAGTATAATCATATATATTGTTATTTTCATAATGATTTTAATGTATTTATTTATTTGGATCAAACAATAGTACTATAGTCTTTTTATTTTTTATTTTTTGTTTCCTAAAAAGATTGAAGATCTATTTGTTGTTTGAACTATATGATCAACATATGTTGTTTTGTTTTTTCTGTTTGCTATTATTGTGCGTCAACAAAATTGATAAATCTTTGTCAACAAAGAACGAGCGATCGTACTCATGAATCTGTTTTTTCCTGTTCTTCTATCTTTTCTGTCTTATATTTCCTCATCTATATGATCGTGCATGTTTGCTTGCATTATCAAGAAAGACAATAGCATTCAATCACATTCTTATATTCGTCCTTTCTTTTTTGTGTTTTTTTTTTTACTAGAAACTGATGTGTTATTGTTGTTATTTTTTTTAGTATCTTTCAGATCGTTCGCCATCATATAGAAGATGACGTCGGTCAAAGTAGCCGTTCGTGTTCGACCATTTAATGCACGTGAACGAACACGTCAAGCCAAATGTATTATTCGTATGGATCAACATGAACAAACAACATTTATACGAAATCCAATTGATGATACAATAAAACATTATAAATATGATTATTCATATTGGTCATGTGATGAATATATAAATAATCAAAAATTTGCAACACAAAAACAAGTTTATCAAGATTTAGGCATTGAAATGTTAGAACATGCTTTTGAAGGATATAATGTATGTATATTTGCATATGGACAAACAGGTGCCGGAAAATCTTATACAATGATGGGAAAAAATGAATCTGAACAACAAGGTATTATACCTCGTTTATGTGGTGAATTATTTGAACGTATAACATCATCAACAACACCATCATCATCACCATCATCATCTCATATAAAACCACGTTATACAGTTGAAGTATCATATATGGAAATATATTGTGAACGTGTACGAGATTTACTTTCACCAAAAAAAAGTCAATCAACTAATGTTGGAAGTTCACATAATTTACGTGTTCGAGAACATCCAATTATGGGACCATATGTTGAAGATTTATCTCGTTTACTTGTAACATCATATGATGATATATCAAGATTAATTGATGAAGGTAATAAAGCTCGAACAGTAGCAGCTACAAATATGAATGAAACATCAAGTCGATCACATGCTGTATTTACAATATTATTTTCACAATCAACATATGATAAAATGACTGATTTAACAGCTGAAAAACAATCGAAAATTTCTTTAGTTGATTTAGCTGGAAGTGAACGTGCTGATGCAACAGGTGCAACAGGTGATCGATTAAAAGAAGGTGCAAATATTAATAAATCATTAACAACACTTGGCAAAGTTATTGCAGCACTTGCTGAAATGGTTTGTTAATTAATCAAACGAAAAAAAACAAAAAAAAACAAAACATAATAAAATAATTTATATGTTTTGTTTTTAGAGTTCAAAAAATCGTAAACCACGTTCAGAAAAAAAAGGTGATTTTATACCATATCGTGATTCTGTATTAACTTGGTTATTAAAAGAAAATCTTGGTAAGTCGATAAAAATGGAATTGTACTTCTTTTTTTTCTCTGTTTTGAAAAATTTCTATTACGAAAAAGTAATCTTCAGGTAAAATCAAATCAATTATTCAGAATACGTATGTAAAAGTAACATTTGCCTTATTTACTAATACAAATCAAAAGCTAAAAAACGCTATTTTCCTAAATTTTCAAACGGAATCAATAATAAAATTTTTTTTGTTGCGGTTAGGTGGTAATTCAAAAACAGCTATGATAGCAGCTATATCTCCAGCCGATATCAATTATGAAGAAACTTTATCTACACTTCGATATGCTGATCGTGCAAAAGCAATTGTTTGTAAAGCTGTTATTAATGAAGATGCAAATGCTAAACTTATACGTGATTTAAAAGAAGAAATAATTAAATTACGAGAATTATTAAAACATGAAGCTGGTATTGATATATCACCAGATGGTACAACAACATCCATTGTATCTACAACAACAACAACAACAACTAATACGACTAAACATCAACGATTAAAATCAACTTCATCCCAAAGTAGTGAAGATGCATTAGAACGTTTAAAAGAAAATCAAAAATTAATGGATTCATTATGTATGTCATATGAAGAAAAATTAAAGAAAACAGAAAAAATTATGGCAGAAAGGTATATATATGAAGATTAATTGAAATAAAACGATTTCAAATTTTATTTTTAGAGAAGCAGCTTTTCATGAACTTGGTGTTTATTCAAAAAATGATGGCAATGCTGTTGGTATTTTTTCACCAAAAAATGTAAGAATTTATATAAAGTAAATATATTCGTCATGAAATTTATTATTATTTTAGTCTCCTCATTTGGTCAATCTTAATGAAGATCCATTAATGTCTGAATGTTTAATGTATTTTATTAAAGATGGTACAACTCGGTAAGATTTATATATATGCATTATTTAATTGAATGTTATGAAAGACAAAACTAACGACTATCATCTTCACTTCAATGGTAGATTGACAAATGTTTTTTTTTTAATAAGTCTATTGAGATCAACAATTTGAAGTTCTTTGATGCTTCTAGATTACTAGAAACTTCTCATTTTTAAATTCTGTAATTAGTAGGTAGATTGCTTGAAAAAGTTTTTTATTCACATTGCCATCGAGTTAAATGACTCCGACGCCAACATCCTTATATTTTCGGTGAGAACTTACCGGAATGAAGACGACGTTTTCGATCGGAAAACTTCCTGAAATAGTAGAAACGCAGAAGTTAGAATTCAATAATGAAATATGTCAATCTACTATACCTAGCTATTATCGCTTCCGATCGGAACTAGAAAAATTCGATCACCAGATTCGTACATTGAAGCTGTTACTATATTTAGCTCCTACTTAATTCTCTTGTAATAATCTTTACTATTTATCTAGTGTTGGTCGTCCTGATGCACCTGTACATCAAGATATTGTTTTGTCAGGTTCACATATAGAACCTGAACATTGTATAATAACAAATTCTCAAAATATTGTTCATTTAAAACCATGTAGTGCAACAACAATGTGTTATGTTAATGGAAAAAAAGTTGATTTTGGTACAGCTGTTGATTTAGCATCGGGATCTCGTGTTATATTTGGTAAATCACATGTTTTTCGTTTTCTTAATCCTGAACAAGCACGAAGAAAGAATACAAAAACAGAATCATCTGGTGGTAGGTTTTCGTTGAAAGTAAAAAAACAACATAATATAATTTCTTGTTTTTTTTTTGTTTTTGGATCATATAGAACCAACAGATTGGAATAGTGCAATACAAGAATTATTAGAAAAACAAGGTGTTGATATAAAACATGAAATGGAAAAAAAGTAAATTGTTTAAGATTTTTGTTTTTCTATCAGACAAATTTTTTTTTGTGAAGACTTTTAACAATGGAAGAAGCATTTAAAAGAGAAAAAGAAGAAGCTGATCGTCTTTTACGTGAACAAAAACTTGAATATGAATCTAAAATAGTTGAATTACAAAAACAAGTTATGGAAACATCAATGAGTCAATCGATGCTTTCATCTATTTTATCATCATCAGGTTTTGTTGATGCAGCATCATTTAAACAAAATCCATTTCAACAAGATTTTAATGAAAATGACAATGATACACTTAATTGTAAGACGTAATAAATAAATATTTTTTTTTTGTAGTGTGAGTTTTTTTTTTTCAGATTGTTCTTGGTCAGAACAAGATTATCAATTAGCATGGTGGGCATGGAAAAAATGGCGTTATCATCAAATGACATCATTACGAGTAAGTTTTTATTTTTGATATGTAATAGATTTTTGAGATAATAGTTTTAACTTTAATTAGGATTATTCAAATCGTATTCAACCTATTTGGTTGATTAAGGTATATTTGTTTTTATCTGTTCGTCTATTGGTGTTGTTTTGAAATTATATATCATATTATTTTAATTATCATCATTGTTTTGTCAAAGAAAAAAATAGTGATCTAATAGAGAATTCAATTGACTGTGTAGAACTACAAAGACATGAGACCATCTGTTTAGTTACAGTAACTAGTTAACTCGATGAGTTATGATTTCATAAGAATTTAAAGTATTTGTCATTGATAAAGAAGATTTTAAGAGCAACTTTGTCGTATTGCAGTTTCCAAAATAGATAGATATCCATTCAGAATATTTCTGTTATACAGTCAGTCAAAACCAGTTCAACAACAGAATAAATCCGTGTAAAATCGTGAGCCTATTGAATAAGAGCAGTAACCTGTAGCAATCAATTAGTGACCTTAATTTAATGCTACTATGAATTGCCAAGACATACTATTGAGCTGCTTAATCTTTGATGATGACTAACCGTATTGCAAAAACGGTTCTTATACCCCTTTAGTTTTATGATTTTTACATACTTAGCAAACCCGAACCTCTAGATCAAGAAAAGTGACCTCAAAATGTTGAGTTTATACATTGAGTTTACTTTTTCGGTTCAGCTTATACGCTGATTTTTCTTGAGACTGAACAATCATTATGATAATCTGACTGATAATCCTCTCTTAAGTTCATTAGGAGGATTCATAATATAGATAAAAATTCTAAAAGCGTTTATACTACTAGGCCTTTCTACTGGGCTTATGGTTTTTTTTACTAAACTTTTAGGCTATTGTAGGACATTACAAGCAAAACTGTAACAATGAGTTTCGATCTGGAATTTTTCTGATATCTTGAAAGTTTCAGTTCAAACGAATGTTTACCTCTCGTACAAACTAAAACGTTTCGAGTTTCATAAGAACCATGAGAGTTATTGTTGAGATTTTTCTTTCAAAATTTTTATCCACATTATGAGTCCCACCTATAAGATTATCAAATTAAGCTTTAGTTTCAGCACATATTGCTCGTCGAATATGAATGCTTAACAAAAAACTTTCATAGTAAGCCTTAAACTCTGCTTATAAAATATTCCAATACATTATAATTATTGATTTATGCTGTTTGTGTTGTTATTTTTTTTTCTTTTATTTTTTTGAAATTTCATTCATTTGAAAATATAATTTATTATTTTCATAGGATCTTTTATGGGGTAATAGTGTTTATTTAAAAGAAGCAAATGCAATAAGTGTTGAATTACATAAACGTGTTCAATTTCAATTTGTTCTTTTAACTGATACACTTTATTCACCGTTACCTGCTGATTTATGTTTATCACCATCATCATCACAACGTACAATTGTTGCTGTTGAAGTACAAGATTTAAAAAATGGCGCTCGACATTATTGGACATTAGAAAAATTTCGGTGAGTCAATTTTTTACTAAGAGATCATTAACATGATACAACGAAAGTGTTCTAGTTTAATAACATATGACTCATAATTTAAGTTCTAGACTAATTTTGTTTTTTAGTAAAGAATTGAGTAAAATATCTAGTGCAGAAATAAGTAAACAAAAATTTGATCGGAATTATTTCTTGAAGGATATAAAAATTTTAAAACAATATATGAAGAAACTCTATGAGAACTTCAAATTTGGATTGAATCAAATTACAAAAACTTAACTCATGTCGGACACTGATGTGTATTTTGTTTGAACCTTTTTTATTATCCAATTTTGATATTTTTCATACATTTGTTCATTAGAATGATAAGCGTTCATGTTATATGTTTGAATATCGCACAATACAATGATATTCTATTCTAAATAATATTATTTAGTAGAAAAATCAATAAGTTTCAGTCTGTTGTATAATGAAATCAATGATTGTAGAAAATATTACAAAGCACATAGAATATTTATATTGAATGAAGTTTTGTTTTTAAAATCGAGAGTATTGCTGAAGATTTTAATCCTTGTCAGGAAACATTTTCGATCAATTTTTTTCATCTATGGTTATGCACTAGACATTTCGTTCTACATAACAGAACAAAATTAATATTGAACTTTTGCCTTACTTGTTATAGAAAATACGCCATAAATGTCTTACTTAGATAATTTATTGAAGCTACACTGGAAAGTTTTTCTTCACAAGAATGATTAAATAAAACATCGGTCAACTATTCTGATAAATCATTGAATCTATTAAGTTTTTATTTAGTTGTAAAACATTAAAATGAATAAAGACAGATTTAGAAAAATTTTCATGATAATTAATATAAATTTAATTTTCTTTGTTTTTGAAATTCTATTTCACAAAAATTTATCGATGATTAATTAAGTTCGGTTATCTTTCCCTCAAATGTAAATTGAACGTTCTGTTTTTGTCTTTTAATCCAAACCTATAAATTTGAATATCCTTTCGAATCTTCATCCGCACACACATATAGATCGCGTCTGGAAATCATGCGTCATATATACAATTGTGAACAAATATCAATTCCACGTGCAGTAAGTTATAATGATATGAGCGATTCATCATCGCAACATATTATTATGACATCTGATACTCGACATTCAAGTTTTGATGATTCAATTCCAACTCCAACTGTTAAAGGACAATTTGATTTTTCATCAAAAGCCAGGTTCGTTTATGTGGTGTTCATTTATATTGTATATCATAAACATATTTTTGAAATTTTCTTTTTTTTGTTTATTATGAAATAATTCATATTTATCTATATTAAAATAGGCAACGACTTGAATTAATGCGTGAAATGTATTCAAATGCTGCTGATATATCACCAACATCACCTGATCAAAATCTTGAATCAATATTAACTGGTGATATGTCAACATCTACAATTCCAAATGATCCATTTTATGATCGTTTTCCATGGTTTCGACCAATTGGAAGGTAAAATGAAATTCTTTTTTTTTTGTTTTTTCTTTGATTTTATTATTGTTATTTTCTTGTAAAGAGCATTTGTTTATTTAACAAATCTTTTATATGGTATACCATTAGTACAAAATGTTGCTATTGTATCTGAACGTGGTGAAATAAAAGGTTATTTAAAAGTAGCTGTACAACAATTACAAACAACTGATACAACAAATGAACAAATAAAATTAATGAGAACATATAGAAATGCAAGTGGAATGACAAAAATTGTTTTTGATGATGAAAATTATTTTCAAGTATGTATATTAAAACAAAAAAAAAGAGGGGGGGGGGAGTGTTGAAGTAAATCGGATAGGAATTTAAATGAACTATTTTCTTATCGTATTTCGGGGAGGATTGAGTAAAAAAAAGATAGTAAAGAAATGTGTCCTAAATTAGATTGAATAAAATAATTTTCCTATGATCATGTTTTTACATTGTAATCCCCTATGGATTACATTAATAGCTTTTTATATAGAAGAAGCTATATATATTATAGATATTAAAGAAGTGATGTTTTTATGATAAGAGGATTGTATTTCTTGACATCAAGCTTTCGCAACAATGAATGGCATAGATGTCAAAAAGATGAGTGTACTTTTTTTTTTTTGATTTAGTTAAAATGTCATGACATCTATGTAGAATAAATGTCATCATTCAAATGAATTTGTTCTGTCTAAAAATAAATACGACAAACCGAAAGATGATTGAACAGTTGTTTGTGAGTGAAATTCAAAGAATATTATCTTAAATAGAAATGTACGGAATTGAAATGAAAACTTGTAAGAAATGAAGTCCATCTTAATGAAAAGTAGGATATTAAGAAAAGCTCTCGAATCAAGAATTGTAGTAATCTCGTTTGAATTGTCTTAAAATCTAGTTATAATCTCAACAAAATTAAAAAGAGAAAACTTTATTTATCAGTAATTATTTTGTTTTTTCAGTCAATGAAAAGTTCATCTACGACTGATTTAATAAAAGTATGTGATTCTTCGGATTCAAATTCTCGTTATGTCGAAGGACAATCTCAATTTGGTCTTAATGATATTTTACAACAAAAAACAAATTCTGATTCTTCATCATCATTGAATCCTTCTAGTAAATATATTTCGAATTCTATTTTTTTTTTGTATTTATTTTTTTGAAAATATAGAAGAATCTCAAATAATGCTTAGAAATGATACTTCATCAAATGAATTTATACCACAACTTGGTGTTGAATATCAATTTCGTGTAACAGTTTTAGAAGCATCACAAATATCATCAGATTATGCTGATATTTTTTGTCAATTTAATTTTTTACATCAACATCAAGAAGCATATTCAACAGAACCACTTAAAAATCAAGGCAAACCAGGACCACCATTAGGATTTTTTCATGTACAAAATGTAAGATTAAAAATAAAATTTCATTTTCTTAAAAACAAAAAAAAAAAAAAAATAATTATTCTAATTTTTGCTTTTATTTTTTTATAGTTTAGTGTTATTGTAACACATTCATTTATTGATTATCTTCGAACAAAACCAATTGTATTCGAAGTAATGGGTCATTATCAAGAATATTTAAGTCCAATAAAAAATAAGTAATGCAATTTTTTTTCTATAAGAATTAAATTTTCATAGAAAATTAAATTATATTTAGTTCAACAGTAACAAAAACAAATCGTTCACAAACAACTACTGCAGCATCATTAACTTTTTCAAAACCAGTTCCTGCTCAAACACTTAATCCAATGACAGCTGTTAGGTTAGTTAATAATACATACTCATCTAGTTACAAGTTATAGATTTCAGACATATCTTATATTTACTTTCTGAAAGAGATATAGAAGTGCTTAAAAATAATTTTCTTTTTTTTTTTTATTATTTTAATATAGTACAACAAATCAAGTTCATGCTACACATGATCTTCTTGTTTGGTATGAAATTTTTGAATTATCACCTACTGGAGAGTAAGCTTTTTTTTTCTATTTTAATCGACAAAATGAAAAAAAAAAAAACATAAATTATTTATCAATAAATAGATATGCTGCTGCAACTGTTGATCATTCGGATGATGTTCCATGTTCAGGTCGATTTATTCTTCATCAAGGTATTCAACGTCGTATTGGAATAACTCTTTGTCATGAATCTGGTTCTGAACTTATTTGGAAAGATGTTCAAGAAGTTGTTGTTGGTAAAGAAAAACACAAAAACAAAAGAAAAGAAAAATAATTCAATACTTACATTTGTTTTTTTTTTGTCTAAATAGGTCGTATTCGTGGTCAACGTGATTCTGTATTTGATGAATCTGATGGTCAAGTATTATCATTAAATATAATTTCATCTCATTATATTCAAAAACAACATGATGAACGAACATTTTATCATTTTGAAGTTGCATGGGATTCATCATTACATAATTCATTATTACTTAATCGTTGTACATCAAGTGGAAATTCTGTTTATTTAACTATATCATCATATCTTGAAATTGAAAATTCATTTCAACCAGCTATAATAACAAAAGATCTTTGTCTTGTTTTATATCCACGTGGTGGAGATTCAACATCACGTATACGTTCATCATTAAAAAATTTTTTCTTATCAACTAATTCAATAACATCATCATTTAATGAAACAATAAATGAACATTCAAATCGTGTATCAGCTGTTTATGAATTAAAATTACGACGTGCAACACCAATGAATATTATGGCACAAGATTCATCTATGATTAATTCGGATATACAACGACGACAAAGAAAAATAATTGATACATCAAAAATTTATGTACGTGGTGAAGAAATGTTAGATGGTTGGAGACCAAGAAGTGATTCATTAATTATTGAACATCAACAAGATTTAGAAAAATTATATAAAATTGAATGTGTAAGTTTTTTAGATAAAATGTACAAAAAAAAAAATATTTTTATTTGATTTTGATTTTATAATTAGGTTGAACATACAAAACATTTTCTACAAGTAAAAAATCGTTTAGAAAATCCTTTATCATCACCAAATGATAATTCACCTGAAAAAATTAAATATTCATTAAATACTATTGATCCATTAAAATCAATTGATAATCGTCAACAAGATTTACTTCGTCGATGTGTATCAATGATGTTACCACCACCTTTAATTATACATAAATTAGCTATACCAGAAATTGAAGTAAATAATGCGTTTATTTTATTTTTTGGTTTTATTTATGAATTCAAAAAAAACAATTTCTTTCTATGAAATAAATAGGTAACTACTGATCGTTTATTATCGGATGATTTTGGAACAGTTCATTCATTACTTAAATCAGCATCAACATATTCATTTAATACACAACCATTGCATATGAATACGGCAAATATGATTAATTCATTTATTAAAGCATCTTCTAGTAGTTCGGATCTTTCAAGGTAAAAAAAATAAAAAATAAAAGCGTCTAAACGTTTTGAACAATACAAAGAGAAAATTAAATTGAAAGTACTCAAATCTTAATGATTTCTATAA